TAATAAAAAAAAACAAACTAATTTCTCTCTCCTACACTACCATCATTATTCGTTATTTTACATTTGTTTTTACGTTTTTTTGCTTAACGAATGAGATTTCCCCAACGTAGTGATTGTTAATCACTTGTAACTTTGGTAGGTGAAATATAATATGAAGGGTGAGGGATTCAAAGGGATTCAACCGATATTGTTAAAGAACAGTACAAAAACTTCAAGTTGACTTAGAACATTTGGCCTGCTTTAAAGATGAGATAATCTACCCGAGCTTCCGAAAAAAGTATTGTAACACATATAAAAAAAACTTTAAATCAATTGAATTGCTTGTGTAACGATCTGCAAACTCGGGCATACTCGAGACGGTCCCTCCTGTTTTATTTGGGACGTTCCTACCTGTAGTTCCCGTTGGGTGATGTTTTGAAGCTGATCCGATTTCACCCGGTTGAAGATTTTTAGACGGGTCAAATAAAAGTTTCTCTCTAAAATAAGTACATGAAAGTTATATTAAATAGATGGCCGGGATAAATCAGTTATATCCTGTGTAGTTGAATATAGGTAGCAATTACATATACAATATCTCACATATTGCACGACTTTTTGATAAATTATATCAAATTTACTAATATAAAATCCACTGATTGCAAATAATCACCTCGTACGAAGGCATATCTCTATTCATAACACGTAAATAAACAACCTTCGGGCTTTTAATTCCTACTTTAGTACTTTATTAGTATATGCTCTTGAACAGGGGCAATACATATCGAATTATGTGATTAGATCACTACATGCTAGGGTTGTCTTATAGCTTGTAAATAATCTTATTGATTAAAGGAAAAACTTAACCTGAACTAGGGGTTAGGCAATTTATATTAGACCCTAGGGGTCTAAAATTATATGTTTGTGTGCCTGCATAATAATCACTATTGCTATAAAATCGATTTTTTATTTTATTTTTTCTTTCTTTCTATAATCTGAGGTGTTGTATTATCATTTTTGGTGTTGCTTTTTGGTATCATCACTCTTTGAAGCTGTTTCTTTTGCTTTTTAGAGTTTTTGCTTTTTTTGAAGTTATTGCTTGTTTGAAATTATCATTTTCTGGTACTATGTGATTTTATTATACTGGCTTGGGTGTTACTATTTTAGTGTATTGGTGTTACTTTTAAGGTTACTTTTAATGTAAATTATGCTATAAAGTTAAGTTTCTTTTGTCTATTTTTTATCATTTTTAAACCTTTTCTTATTAAGTAAATCACTCTTGGGCCTCTAACAAAAGTTGTAGAACTCATCAAGACGCATCTAATAGTAGTAAGAATGTTAAGATTGGCCTGATAGTTCTTGAGAAATTTTTAAAAAACGTTTTATTGATATATAAAATTTCTTTAAAAAAATCAATTTTTTTTAAAGAAATTTATATGTTGGTGAAATATTTTTTTAAGATTTCTCAAGAATCACCAGGCCAATTTTAATGTTCTTATTACTATTATTAGATGTGTTTTGATGAGTTCTACAACTTTTGTTAGAAGTCTTAATTTATTTAGTAAGAAAAAAGTTTTAGATAGAAGCATTTCACTTTTGAGTTTATAGTAAAATTTACATATAAAAAAAATTGTTGTTCAGCTATTTCATAAACTACCTATTTAAATTTTTATTTTTATATTATTTATTTGTTTTTTTCACTTAAGCTAGCCTCTAAGCTTTGGTTTTTATTAGTCCAATTGAATTACAGAGTTTTTTAGTAGCTTCTGATAGTGTTACATCTTGACAAGAGTATAATTGGTCACAAGGTTTGGGGAGGGTTTTTAGGGCATAGAACATTTTTACTTTGAACACTTCACATCGATTAATTATCCAATTTTTGAAATAATGTATGCATAGGTGCATTTTTAATAAAAGCCTTAATCTGTTATATAGTTTATCTCAGATTATCATTTTTTAGACCTTAGGAATAAAATCTATTTATTATTTAAAATTTATAATACAAAGGTCTGCAAATTTTGCAATGACAAAACGAACGTTTTTTGCTATGTGATCATGATAATTCTAAAATTTTTGGTTTTATAAAAGTAAGGTCACGCAAATTTGCTAAATGTTTCTCATAAGCCGGCCGAGTCAATTTTTAAAGACAAATTTTATTAGAAAAATTCCGGGTATATTTTTAATTTTAATACATTTAACAATGGGAAAGTTATATTCATAACACCGTGTTATATAACACCTTATACAATATCTCAAAAACGTACGTACTAGCTAATACACAGAAGTACTAAATAAAAATGATCGGAACCTCATGAAAACTGAAATTGGAACCTTAAGTCTAATATATATTGTATAATAAAAAAACCACTATTTATCTTAAAACTGGACCCTAACCCTAAGTAAAACATATAGGTGTTATATTTAACACGGTGTTATGAATATAATATTTCTTAACAATTTATATGTAAATAAATAATGATTTATTGTAACGGATGACGTTAAAATTCGGATGATCGTGAAATTAATATCGATATGTTAAACCATATGATTAGGGTAATTAGCCAATGGGGTCTTTAGATTTCACAACCATCCGAATTTCACAATCATCCGCGACATTTATTGAATAATCTTTATTTCAAAAAAAGCACGAAATCAAAAAGGTTATCTTGGTAAAAATTTTGTAGATAACAATATGTAAGAGCAATCGGGTTTCATGCAATCATATTGGTGAGGATCACACAAAATCATAAATTGTGTACAGATTCTCATCGAATACATCCATAATATGTCGTCTCTGAATCTCGCTAGAGTCCTCTACTTGAGCAACAATTCGAGGGTCAGAGAAAAACGCCTAGGAAAAAAAAAAAAAGTCACAAGATATTACTATTAAATTAAAGTGAATAAACGTCTCTGGTTATACCCACTTTAGCATAAGAGTCAATATCAAATTTGAACGGTTTCGTCCCAAAATTCGCTTCCACGCATTCACCTCGAGTCCTCAATCCAACAATAGGATATAAATCTTCATTTAAAGCACATTCAAAAGCGATCCCTGGATTATTTTAAAAAATTAGGGTTACTTTTTAGCACTTCTTAAATGACAATATCATAAGCATATTAGTCTAGAAAGGCACGCTTACCTAAATTGACGCCATTTTTTGTATAGAAAACATTTTGATCTACAAAGTTTACACAACAACCAATGGTGTCTCCCGTGCTATATAAAGGCCCGTACTTTGTGCCAAAACCGTTTTCAAAAAATTTACATCCATCATCGCCATGATATCCCATCGTTCCCGGACACCATCCTATGATAAGAACAAAAAATAAATAAATAAAATAAAGTAAAATAACATGAATTTTCGTGAAGGAAATAATATTAAATTCGCAAACTTAATAAACCTGGTAAAATATCAAGTATTTCTAAATCTCTAGCAAATCCAACTCCAATATATCTAATTTGATTGGAAGTTATATAATTAGAATAAATAATGAAATAAATAAGTAGATAAATAAATAATTATCATAAAAGTTCAGATAAACACACCCATCTTCACCTTTATCTATAATATTGATTTCAAAATAGTATAGCAAAACTTCAGGCGGAACAGGATAATCAGTTGGAACTGATTCGGCTTGACTGTCATCAACTCCAGGTCCTTCGTTAAACGCGGTTACGAACGTCAATTAAAAGAAGACGTGTATAAAAACCAAAATAAGAACTGAAAAAACATTTATAATTACCTATATATTCAAGTATTAATTTATTATCCATACACTTGACAAACCTCGGTGAATACGGTGAATACTCTTCGAAGCGCGTTGGTAGATATAATGGGTCGGTCGAATTAAGATTTTCTATAGGTGTACCTTTGAGATATCCTGGAAGATAAGGTTGTTCATCTATGTCTATATTCATCAGGGTTGGATATTACACACACGTTTTTTTTTATTATAGTGAGCTGGAATTTGGAGAATTTTTTAATTACGAATTTATTATAATAAGTGACGCTAGAGTAACGTCATTACAGCTGTAATCTATCGATTTGATAATCATGACTAGGAAGTGGCATGCCTCGATGGGAATCTTCCCCAGTATCGCCACCAAAAAAATGCAGTCACGTGATAACGATAAAAATTGAATTTCGTTGTTAGGAGTATATTAGTAAATCGCTCAAGGAAATTGGTAAAATCGTTCAAGGAAATTTTTTTGTGAATTTTTTTCCTGATCGTGTAACGTTACACCCTATCTTGAAATCTCATTGGTTTCCGCCATAAAAATATCGGGTGACTGCATTTTTTTGGTGGCGTGGTTTCGATGAGGTGACAGGGATCAATTATGCGATGGATGCTTATCGTTATGCGATTTTAGTGTTTAACGTTAAGCTCTTTCGTCAAATCACTTATCTACCAATCACAATCCACACACGTGACACGGATGCCCTTTTCAATCTGCTCGATTATGCGAAGCATAATCCTGGACACCCTAGTAAAGCCCTGCACGGGCTTAAAAATTTGTACTTCTGCCGGTCCGCAAAATAAAATTTACTATGCTTTTTAAAATTCAGCCCGCAATTTTGAAAGGTTTTTAAAATTTCAAATTTCGGCCCGGCCCGTGCAGGCCTCTACACCCTAGTATAACAGGAGCGAACGTTCAAATTCGTAGATGATTCCCTATACAATTACACGTGATTGTCAACCAACCATATCTCAAGTTTTAGCAAATCGGCCAATCAGATTACAAAAAAAGTCATGTGATTCACGGGGTTTCAAAGAAGGAGATTGCTACGGGCACAACATTTCATGTGCTTATGGGCACAACAATGACCGGCATTTCTTACCCTAACGTTAATTAACTCTAACCCCTAACTCAGGCCGATGTTGTGTCTATAAGTCACGTGAAATGTTGTGCCCGTAGTTTTCCGCTTCAAAGAATATGTTATAGAAATATTAAATTTACTCTCATTTAATAAAAAATTAAAATACCCAAGCTTTTAAAAGAAGTATTGTAAAATGTATAAAAAATTATTAATCAATTGTGTAGCTATATCGGAATTATCTACAAATTTGAACAGTACTTCTATGCCCACATTTAATCATGTAACAAACAATTAACCAATAAAAATCGTTTAAAATTATGTGTTAAAAATTTATCAATGACCAATCATGATCAATTATTTAATATAAATTTGTGTATAAATGTTTGCTAAAGTATAGTTATAGAAAGATTTTCATATGATTAGCTGTTTAAATCTATTTAATTTATACAGTTTAAGGTACTTTTTTAAAAAAATTTAATTAAGGATGTAGTAACATAGTATAGTTGGTAAGTTGTTACTTCTTCAAATGACAGATCTAAAGTTCAAAATTTTACTGGTGATGATTTTAAAAAATAATATTTGTTTTAGTAACATTTATTGATGATCAGTTGAATATATTACTTGTAGTCTTAGTACTATCATTTTAAATAAAAGCTTTTGAGCAAATTGTATAACATCATATAAACAAAGCCAAAAAACTAAAATAATTGAAACCTATTTGGCAAATTCTGGGCAAGTAGATAGTGAAGATTTTTAATGATACTGCAAAAGCCAGAATCTTAAAAATTAGAGATCAAAGAACTAAATATAATAACTCTGAAGCAAAAGAAGTTTACTAACCTAGTCACCAAAGTCATATCAGAGAAAAAAAATCTCATTTTATAAAATTAGAAACTGAAAAAAGAAAACTAAAGACATTTAAAACCTAGATACACTAATTTAATCAGATTAACTAGTTTGAAAGTTTGAAAAGGAGTATAAAGAGGTTTGGGTCAAATCCCAACAAGCAAAATTCTGACAGATCATAATCCCAACAAAAAAATTCTGACAGCAACATCCTGACAATTAAAAGTTTTTGATAAAAAAAAATATCATAAACCATAGCTAACTCAAGCCTAACGCTCATCTAAAGTGACCTAACCCTAAAGTTAATTAGTGTATCTAGGTTTTAAATGTCTTTAGTTTTCTTTTTTCAGTTTCTAATTTTATAAAATGAGATTTTTTTTCTCTGATATGACTTTGGTGACTAGGTTAGTAAACTTCTTTTGCTTCAGAGTTATTATATTTAGTTCTTTGATCTCTAATTTTTAAGATTCTGGCTTTTGCAGTATCATTAAAAATCTTCACTATCTACTTGCCCAGAATTTGCCAAATAGGTTTCAATTATTTTAGTTTTTTGGCTTTGTTTATATGATGTTATACAATTTGCTCAAAAGCTTTTATTTAAAATGATAGTACTAAGACTACAAGTAATATATTCAACTGATCATCAATAAATGTTACTAAAACAAATATTATTTTTTAAAATCATCACCAGTAAAATTTTGAACTTTAGATCTGTCATTTGAAGAAGTAACAACTTACCAACTATACTATGTTACTACATCCTTAATTAAATTTTTTTAAAAAAGTACCTTAAACTGTATAAATTAAATAGATTTAAACAGCTAATCATATGAAAATCTTTCTATAACTATACTTTAGCAAACATTTATACACAAATTTATATTAAATAATTGATCATGATTGGTCATTGATAAATTTTTAACACATAATTTTAAACGATTTTTATTGGTTAATTGTTTGTTACATGATTAAATGTGGGCATAGAAGTACTGTTCAAATTTGTAGATAATTCCGATATAGCTACACAATTGATTAATAATTTTTTATACATTTTACAATACTTCTTTTAAAAGCTTGGGTATTTTAATTTTTTATTAAATGAGAGTAAATTTAATATTTCTATAACATATTCTTTGAAGCGGAAAACTACGGGCACAACATTTCACGTGACTTATAGACACAACATCGGCCTGAGTTAGGGGTTAGAGTTAATTAACGTTAGGGTAAGAAATGCCGGTCATTGTTGTGCCCATAAGCACATGAAATGTTGTGCCCGTAGCAATCTCCTTCTTTGAAACCCCGTGAATCACATGACTTTTTTTGTAATCTGATTGGCCGATTTGCTAAAACTTGAGATATGGTTGGTTGACAATCACGTGTAATTGTATAGGGAATCATCTACGAATTTGAACGTTCGCTCCTGTTATACTAGGGTGTAGAGGCCTGCACGGGCCGGGCCGAAATTTGAAATTTTAAAAACCTTTCAAAATTGCGGGCTGAATTTTAAAAAGCATAGTAAATTTTATTTTGCGGACCGGCAGAAGTACAAATTTTTAAGCCCGTGCAGGGCTTTACTAGGGTGTCCAGGATTATGCTTCGCATAATCGAGCAGATTGAAAAGGGCATCCGTGTCACGTGTGTGGATTGTGATTGGTAGATAAGTGATTTGACGAAAGAGCTTAACGTTAAACACTAAAATCGCATAACGATAAGCATCCATCGCATAATTGATCCCTGTCACCTCATCGAAACCACGCCACCAAAAAAATGCAGTCACCCGATATTTTTATGGCGGAAACCAATGAGATTTCAAGATAGGGTGTAACGTTACACGATCAGGAAAAAAATTCACAAAAAAATTTCCTTGAACGATTTTACCAATTTCCTTGAGCGATTTACTAATATACTCCTAACAACGAAATTCAATTTTTATCGTTATCACGTGACTGCATTTTTTTGGTGGCGATACTGGGGAAGATTCCCATCGAGGCATGCCACTTCCTAGTCATGATTATCAAATCGATAGATTACAGCTGTAATGACGTTACTCTAGCGTCACTTATTATAATAAATTCGTAATTAAAAAATTCTCCAAATTCCAGCTCACTATAATAAAAAAAAACGTGTGTGTAATATCCAACCCTGATGAATATAGACATAGATGAACAACCTTATCTTCCAGGATATCTCAAAGGTACACCTATAGAAAATCTTAATTCGACCGACCCATTATATCTACCAACGCGCTTCGAAGAGTATTCACCGTATTCACCGAGGTTTGTCAAGTGTATGGATAATAAATTAATACTTGAATATATAGGTAATTATAAATGTTTTTTCAGTTCTTATTTTGGTTTTTATACACGTCTTCTTTTAATTGACGTTCGTAACCGCGTTTAACGAAGGACCTGGAGTTGATGACAGTCAAGCCGAATCAGTTCCAACTGATTATCCTGTTCCGCCTGAAGTTTTGCTATACTATTTTGAAATCAATATTATAGATAAAGGTGAAGATGGGTGTGTTTATCTGAACTTTTATGATAATTATTTATTTATCTACTTATTTATTTCATTATTTATTCTAATTATATAACTTCCAATCAAATTAGATATATTGGAGTTGGATTTGCTAGAGATTTAGAAATACTTGATATTTTACCAGGTTTATTAAGTTTGCGAATTTAATATTATTTCCTTCACGAAAATTCATGTTATTTTACTTTATTTTATTTATTTATTTTTTGTTCTTATCATAGGATGGTGTCCGGGAACGATGGGATATCATGGCGATGATGGATGTAAATTTTTTGAAAACGGTTTTGGCACAAAGTACGGGCCTTTATATAGCACGGGAGACACCATTGGTTGTTGTGTAAACTTTGTAGATCAAAATGTTTTCTATACAAAAAATGGCGTCAATTTAGGTAAGCGTGCCTTTCTAGACTAATATGCTTATGATATTGTCATTTAAGAAGTGCTAAAAAGTAACCCTAATTTTTTAAAATAATCCAGGGATCGCTTTTGAATGTGCTTTAAATGAAGATTTATATCCTATTGTTGGATTGAGGACTCGAGGTGAATGCGTGGAAGCGAATTTTGGGACGAAACCGTTCAAATTTGATATTGACTCTTATGCTAAAGTGGGTATAACCAGAGACGTTTATTCACTTTAATTTAATAGTAATATCTTGTGACTTTTTTTTTTTTTCCTAGGCGTTTTTCTCTGACCCTCGAATTGTTGCTCAAGTAGAGGACTCTAGCGAGATTCAGAGACGACATATTATGGATGTATTCGATGAGAATCTGTACACAATTTATGATTTTGTGTGATCCTCACCAATATGATTGCATGAAACCCGATTGCTCTTACATATTGTTATCTACAAAATTTTTACCAAGATAACCTTTTTGATTTCGTGCTTTTTTTGAAATAAAGATTATTCAATAAATGTCGCGGATGATTGTGAAATTCGGATGGTTGTGAAATCTAAAGACCCCATTGGCTAATTACCCTAATCATATGGTTTAACATATCGATATTAATTTCACGATCATCCGAATTTTAACGTCATCCGTTACAATAAATCATTATTTATTTACATATAAATTGTTAAGAAATATTATATTCATAACACCGTGTTAAATATAACACCTATATGTTTTACTTAGGGTTAGGGTCCAGTTTTAAGATAAATAGTGGTTTTTTTATTATACAATATATATTAGACTTAAGGTTCCAATTTCAGTTTTCATGAGGTTCCGATCATTTTTATTTAGTACTTCTGTGTATTAGCTAGTACGTACGTTTTTGAGATATTGTATAAGGTGTTATATAACACGGTGTTATGAATATAACTTTCCCATTGTTAAATGTATTAAAATTAAAAATATACCCGGAATTTTTCTAATAAAATTTGTCTTTAAAAATTGACTCGGCCGGCTTATGAGAAACATTTAGCAAATTTGCGTGACCTTACTTTTATAAAACCAAAAATTTTAGAATTATCATGATCACATAGCAAAAAACGTTCGTTTTGTCATTGCAAAATTTGCAGACCTTTGTATTATAAATTTTAAATAATAAATAGATTTTATTCCTAAGGTCTAAAAAATGATAATCTGAGATAAACTATATAACAGATTAAGGCTTTTATTAAAAATGCACCTATGCATACATTATTTCAAAAATTGGATAATTAATCGATGTGAAGTGTTCAAAGTAAAAATGTTCTATGCCCTAAAAACCCTCCCCAAACCTTGTGACCAATTATACTCTTGTCAAGATGTAACACTATCAGAAGCTACTAAAAAACTCTGTAATTCAATTGGACTAATAAAAACCAAAGCTTAGAGGCTAGCTTAAGTGAAAAAAACAAATAAATAATATAAAAATAAAAATTTAAATAGGTAGTTTATGAAATAGCTGAACAACAATTTTTTTTATATGTAAATTTTACTATAAACTCAAAAGTGAAATGCTTCTATCTAAAACTTTTTTCTTACTAAATAAATTAAGACTTCTAACAAAAGTTGTAGAACTCATCAAAACACATCTAATAATAGTAATAAGAACATTAAAATTGGCCTGGTGATTCTTGAGAAATCTTAAAAAAATATTTCACCAACATATAAATTTCTTTAAAAAAAATTGATTTTTTTAAAGAAATTTTATATATCAATAAAACGTTTTTTAAAAATTTCTCAAGAACTATCAGGCCAATCTTAACATTCTTACTACTATTAGATGCGTCTTGATGAGTTCTACAACTTTTGTTAGAGGCCCAAGAGTGATTTACTTAATAAGAAAAGGTTTAAAAATGATAAAAAATAGACAAAAGAAACTTAACTTTATAGCATAATTTACATTAAAAGTAACCTTAAAAGTAACACCAATACACTAAAATAGTAACACCCAAGCCAGTATAATAAAATCACATAGTACCAGAAAATGATAATTTCAAACAAGCAATAACTTCAAAAAAAGCAAAAACTCTAAAAAGCAAAAGAAACAGCTTCAAAGAGTGATGATACCAAAAAGCAACACCAAAAATGATAATACAACACCTCAGATTATAGAAAGAAAGAAAAAATAAAATAAAAAATCGATTTTATAGCAATAGTGATTATTATGCAGGCACACAAACATATAATTTTAGACCCCTAGGGTCTAATATAAATTGCCTAACCCCTAGTTCAGGTTAAGTTTTTCCTTTAATCAATAAGATTATTTACAAGCTATAAGACAACCCTAGCATGTAGTGATCTAATCACATAATTCGATATGTATTGCCCCTGTTCAAGAGCATATACTAATAAAGTACTAAAGTAGGAATTAAAAGCCCGAAGGTTGTTTATTTACGTGTTATGAATAGAGATATGCCTTCGTACGAGGTGATTATTTGCAATCAGTGGATTTTATATTAGTAAATTTGATATAATTTATCAAAAAGTCGTGCAATATGTGAGATATTGTATATGTAATTGCTACCTATATTCAACTACACAGGATATAACTGATTTATCCCGGCCATCTATTTAATATAACTTTCATGTACTTATTTTAGAGAGAAACTTTTATTTGACCCGTCTAAAAATCTTCAACCGGGTGAAATCGGATCAGCTTCAAAACATCACCCAACGGGAACTACAGGTAGGAACGTCCCAAATAAAACAGGAGGGACCGTCTCGAGTATGCCCGAGTTTGCAGATCGTTACACAAGCAATTCAATTGATTTAAAGTTTTTTTTATATGTGTTACAATACTTTTTTCGGAAGCTCGGGTAGATTATCTCATCTTTAAAGCAGGCCAAATGTTCTAAGTCAACTTGAAGTTTTTGTACTGTTCTTTAACAATATCGGTTGAATCCCTTTGAATCCCTCACCCTTCATATTATATTTCACCTACCAAAGTTACAAGTGATTAACAATCACTACGTTGGGGAAATCTCATTCGTTAAGCAAAAAAACGTAAAAACAAATGTAAAATAACGAATAATGATGGTAGTGTAGGAGAGAGAAATTAGTTTGTTTTTTTTTATTA